AAACAGTCAACAGGAGTGAGTTTAGCAAAAGCTTTGAGTGAAAAACAAGGAAACTCTGTCTGTATATATAATACCCTCTTTCCTTGTTTCGTGTATAAACAGTTTACACACCAGACCTTCTACTTTCTTCTTAAACACACACACATGTCACACACACATGTTCACACACGCCACAGGTCAACTTCCATCCCTATTGATATGAATGTGGACTACACACACCAGGCAGTCCCACTCCCCCACCTTATGATGATGGGTGGGGACACTAGTCACAGCGGTGATGAGGAAGACACTCCTCCTCCTCCCCCTCCTCGGGACGGGACGGGACCCAGCAGTTTGTCAGCCATGTTTTATGTATGGAACACCTGTGATACCGTCTCTCGTACACGTGGTGTACAGAGATTTTGCCACATTGATGTCATTATTACAGCGTGGTCTAATGCTATATACCAGTAGTAGCCAACTGTACATACAACATGTAGGGGGTAGATAGGTACAGTGCACTTGCCCACACCCCCAGCTGACACAGATGTTGACTGTGTACTTTCACTTTTCAAAGATAATATTATGTTTTTTATTCTTTTTTCATATATAGGACTAAATCATGCAGTTGATGTCTTTGAAGGATATTCGGCAGAGATTTCTTGTTGGCTAATTAAACGCAAAGCCAGGCTGTGCCTACATACATGAAATTATTCTGTGAATCATTATATCCCTGCCACTTTGATAATGTGGACGTGCTTGCATTCACTTGAAAAAGGTTTTATGTTTCTCATACACTACTTCAAAGTACACTAGATATGTGAACCAACGTATATACTGACCAAAGAACCAACCAACATAATATACAAACTGAAATTATATACCCACAACAGGAGATTGTGTGGATGTTGGTAGCTACCAGGCATTTTAACTGAGGATCAGCCTTGTGCATATCAGATCACCTGAACAAATTAATGTCTTTCAGGTCAAAAGAATCATTGAGCAACTCTCTCCACAAAGGAGCTTTCACGTGTTAGTCGAACGGTTGAGTTCAGCCAACAAGGTTGCACAGCAGGCAGGGAGACACATAAGAGTTCTACATGAAACACATTCCCGGAACTTCTCTGGGTTTGTCAAGGAGGCTCTGGATGGGAAAGGGAGAAGTTGTGTCTGTGCCTTGACGCTGCTCTTCCCTACAGAAACAGGAATTTTGTTGGCGCTTCTCTAGCGTGGGCCTTCTCACCCAAGAGCCATGCTTACCTAACTAAATGTCTTAGGAGAACAATAGCTATAAACAAGCAGCGACAAGTCTCTGAGTCACGCTATTTATGAGCGTTTATAGAAGCTCTGTTTGTTCTGGAAGTAGTGCACACTGTTTGGGTTGAGTCTCATGTAGCCCCTAGTTATTGTGACTACCATCCACCTGGCCATGCTCTTGTTTGAAACTCTAGTCCCCCCCAGTTGGCTGGTAAATACCCTGTCATTCCCTGGCTTGTGATCCTCCTACTATATTCATGCTCATTACACACACTGGTGACGGAAAAAGCATCCAAGAGCCAGTCTGATTGCGGAGTGTTCATCTGCCGTCAACAGGATGCCCCTATCGAGTCGGTGAACTGGACTTCGACCTACCTGCACCTACGCAACTTGAAAAAGTGGGTGGGGCTCGTCGACGAGGCACAATAGCGCAGTCATGACGAAGTTTTGCAGCAGTAGATTCCAGGGTGGAAGAATGGCACAGTATCACCTTCTACTACGTAGCTGCTCTGCTCCAGCTACTGAGAATAGCTTCTGGTGAGAAAGAAGCAAGCTGCAGCAGGTTCTAGCTAGTAGCCATAGCAATTCATCTGTTTCTCTTCAAAATTAAACTGCCCACTGCTCCTAGTAAAGTGGCTAGTATACTCAAAACATTGGTAATCCACGCAGTGGCGTAAGTAGGTTTACAGGCAGAACATTATTAATTACTGAGGATAAGTTACAACACAACTGGCAGTGGCTAGCCATGCATCACAGCTGCACTTGTCCATATGCCTCATTGGACGTCAGCTGAATGTCTTGTGAACTCTTGACCTCTCTTGCCACACCCACCTCCTCATAGGTGACTGGTGGAGGGAGGGGAGGGGGAGAGGAGGAGGTGGGCCAGACGACCTGCCCCTCACTCTCTGTATGAGGTACACTCCCACCACTCCAGTAGAACTCCAATAGTTAGAAACACAAGACTGCACACCACGCCAATGACTATGGCTGTTGTCTTACAGACATCATAAAGTTCTGCTACTATAATAAGATTGAGCATAATAATAATAATGAGGTAAGCACTGCAGCTAGCCAATTGTACCTTCTGCCTCCACACATTGAGGAGTGGTACCATTCCAGAGGCCACTAGAGAGACATTCTCTGGTAGTGTCTCCCTCTAGACTATAGCCATCATCACAGAAGTAGACTGCCACTGATCCTACACTGCCTCCACTGTAACACCACCCACCACCACTCACTAACCCACACACTCTGTTCTCCTCAACCAGAGAGGGAGACAGGTCCCTCAATGAACAATTCTTGTCTATTAAGGTGTTACAAAAACATACGATAACACAGTTCCCAAAGAGTGTTTTAAAACACACTGATGAATGCTTTCTGTGTTCAGTAAAGGAAAGGCAAACGAAGTAGGAAAACATAGTCAATACTTGGTGGTTTAGGCGGTGGTGTAAAGACACAGACTAGGTCCATTGGGTGAAGGGACCATGATGAGTTGAAACATTGAGATGACATCCTTTCATTAGGAGTGTATCCATCTGACAGTGGAACTGGATCTCTGCTCCCTCCTCTGTACTCCTGTACTCCTCAATACTACCATTGACTGGTGATGTGAGCTCTGCAGCCAGCTGGGAGAAAACCACAACCATGCCAATTACTATAGAGTTATTGCATGGGGAAACTAAAATAACCCTTCTAGCTACCTACCCTGCATGCTAGTCAGAGATACAGGGTAGCTGGTGCCAGCACAGTTGTTGGCAGTGATGATGATGGAGTAGACGGTGGAGTAGTCCAGTGACAGAGGTAGTTCAAGAGACTCAGTAGTTTTATGGACCACAGTCTGGTCCTCCTGGTAGAGAGAGAGGGTGTAGTTGTCAATCTCCACTCCTCCATCATCTCTTGGGCTCTCCCACCCAACTACCAGTGAATACTGAGATATTCCATACACCACTGATGATGTCAGGTTCCAGGGAGGTGAAGGCAATCCTAAAATAGAACGTAATTAAACAACTCCTTGTGATAGTCTCCTTTGTACCTGCTATCTTTATGTGTGATGGTACAGAAATATTGTCGCTTATCCCATTGTAGCAGAGAATTTTAATAGGATAGTCGGTGAGGGAGGGGTTAACTCGTGTGTGGAGTGTTGAAGTTAAGTCACCCAGGAAAGAGTACTGCTGGTCTCGAGAGTAGTGTATCAGAGAGGCAGTGAACTGGCCAGTGGAGTCAGTCTGAGTAGTGAGAGATGAGTCATCTGCCAGGTTGAAGAGAATAGTGTTATCATTTGATCCAATGACCCAGGTCAGTCTTCCAGTCCCAGGCACAGCACAAGTCAGAGTGACATCTTCACCAACACAAGAAGATCCATCGGCAAGACTGGATATTATCACTTGCCCCTGTTCATAGTCGTTACTAGAAACTATCATGCCACAGGACAGCAATGCTGCGAGATAATTCAAACTGGCGGCAGTTGTACACCCCATAATCTTTAGTCCGGTGTGAGAAAAAAGGGCCGTCGTTGCGTTGAAAGCGAGTGCGCATGCGTGTAACGGTTGCGGCATTTCACTCTGCGGTTGCTATAAAAGGTCCTCACTGGTCCTCATCTGCTCCCTGGTTATTGGCTACTAAAATTGTCCTGGATATGAAGGTATATACGCGTTTTCACTATATTGTCCTGCGTAGATATCCTTACTGCAGGTGGGCTTACGAATCTGCCGTTTAGCCAATCAAAGGCAATCGTGTTACACATAGGCATTCGAGTAACCGACGCAATTCTTCGTCCGCTGCTTGCGAGAACTCGGAGATCCAACTGGAGGTATGTCCAGTTTACTGAGATTTTGGATGTCTGAATAGGATGGGTATATAGCTAATGGTACTTTTTGAGTTTCAATGATGATTGTGTTGATATATATATAGTAGCTATTTAATATGTTGGTAATTGTCCCACATAACAATGATAATCACCATTGTGAATAAATTGCATTTAGTTCTTATAGTCCAGCTTAATGACGACAGTGTATTATATTCACCGCATAACAGTTAGACCACATGGTAGCTAGCATGCAAATGTTTATGATGTAATGTATTTTGCGCAAAAGGTTGCCTGCTGAGGTTTAGGTAGGTGGGGTGGTCCGCCTTCTCACATCACAGCGCAACGTGAGTCTTAATGTATGTCCATGGCATAAGAAGAGCCAGCGAGATTCTTTTCAACTTTAAAAGATGTTCTCTCTGTCAAAACCTAAATTACTTCGCTTGCATTTTGAACCATACAGATTGAGCTACGATGGAAGTACAACTGGCTATACTTTTGTTTTGTTTCCTCTTCGGACAACAGCATGTTCTTGGAGAGAATGGTAGTTGGCTGCAGCATAATAAAGTGCACCTTTACGTTTAGTTACGTTTTGTTTGTCTAGATACCCTAAAGTTTGAATGTACAGGATGTATTTTACCTGATACTAAAGCAGACTACTATATACTGTCCAGAGATTACTGATCTATTTTACTTTCGTTGCCGAATATACAATTCTACATCACTGGTCTGGACTTTGCTACACTACAATATACCTTTGGTTACTTCAACATCGGTTGATAATGTCATCCGTAAAGGCTCAGATGTTACAGTCTTTGTGGAAAGGATTGTGCCCGACAATAAGGGTATAACAGCAAATTTTAGTTCTCACTTGTGGATTGACTTTAAAGAATTACCTCAGAATGTCCGTTCTATCAATGTTACCTGTGGAAACACAACTACAAGTTCTCGCAAAGAATTATTGGCCTTAGGTGAGGCATAAACACAAAACTTCAATTGTGTGTGCATTAGGATGCAGCTATGTTTTTAATTACAGGAGCGGTACATCCCCCTACGAATATCAATACCACAGCAGACATTTTTGACCCTAGCAAGACTCCTAAAGAGTGTTTTGTGTACTATGAGTGGCACCACCCTAATCCAGAAAAGGTTTTGTACTACCAAACTGAAATATTCCTTAATCTATTCACAAAATGAATATTCCTCAAGAAATACAAAATGCAACATGTCTTCTTGGCACTGATGCTCTCAGCAAAGATGACCATTATTTGGTATTAATCACTACTGTTGATCAATGTAATCAACGTGCAAGTAACAGCAAAAGAATAGGTAGAATAACTTCCTGTACTTCTCTTGAAACCTATTATTTATATTTCCTCCTATTTAGATACGACGCTTTGCTCAGAGCCCCAAGACCAGTGTTCAGGCTCTGGCCATCAAGGGATATCTATGCATGAAGGATTGCTATTTTCTGCAGTCCTTCTCTTAGCGATTGGGACTGTCTAAAGATGTGAAGAGCGTGTAGCAGTAGCTAGGTAAATAACTATACATATTATACGCATGTGAGATTTTGACCCGCCGCGCAATGTACACCGGCGCGCGACGACGCTCCTAGCAACCTAATAGCGCGACACGCTCGCTGAGTCAAGAATAGACATAGGCAGGGCTCAGCCTCACCCCAATGATGTAATTTATCATCTACAACCGGCGACACTTACAGTGCTACAGTGACAGGGCTAATGGCGAATTAGCTACCATCCATCAACGCATTAGTTTTGGAGACAGCTAGCTATTAGCTACTGCACAGCCTCCAGGGGGGGAACTTCATGAGCCCTGCATTGCGCATGCGCGGGGCGCGCGTATATATAATATATAGGCCCGTCACTTCTAGCTTATTCACAAAGAAGATGACTACTAAAATGGTGAGTATAATTATAATGATTGAATTACGACACGCTATAACTTAGGTAATCGCTTGTTTATGTTGGAGACATTTATTTTCTGTAAAGGTTGCTCCATTTATTATTTCGACTGTCACTATTTGGCAATATCTTTGCAGAGGTAAAAAATTAATTATACAGATTAGCAGTGTATGCAGTGTATGCATATCCATGCAGGTGTTATTGGACTCGAATTAACATCATCCGTTGAGAGCGTTGGGGGATATGCCACAGGTTGTCCACACACAACCTTAACCTTCACTTGCTCTGCCACACAAGTCTCTTCTCTCACATGGCTTGCTCTACCTTACCTTAATGAAGACGACACTGTCATTATTTTTGCTTCGGAAACTGCTCACAGCACAATAGTTGGTGGTGTATTCAATGTTTCTCTAGTCTCTGTAGAAAACATGATGGGGCACAGTGCTGATCTTACATCTACGTTAAGCACCCAGGCAAATGATATTGTGAACGGAACAAATGTTTCTTGCCTGATATTCTCTGACAGCAGATCAATTACTATTCTTAAAGAAGGTGCTCAGTGGTTCTTGTTTAAAATGTCATTTTATTATTCTCATTTCTGTTTACAGCTCCCCTTCCACCTGTAGTGACAATAGTCAGCTATGCCCTGACTTTCAGTGTCTTGTTTGTTGTCACATGGGCTCAGCCGCAGCGTGTACCTGTTTCCCGTTTTATTATCTCCACTTCCAATACACAGCCTGTACTTATCGCAAACACGACTAACTACACAATTGAGAGTGACTATAATACTAAACTAACCTACAACTTCAGTTCTTACAATTGCTTTGGCACTAGTGAAAGTATTACAAAAGAATTCTTCATGGGTAAATTCAATGTTATAATCCCTAACACTATTAAAGTATATACCTCCAGCTGGCTGTGGTCCTCCCAGTCCACCAGTGAATGGCAGTGTTGGTGAGTGGACCAGTTCCAGAGTAGGAGCACAGGTCACCTACTCCTGTGACACCCACCTGGTTATGGTGGGAGAGACTGTGACCACATGCTCTCTCCCTTCTCTAACATGGCTGCCTAGTAGCGATGATGTCACCTGTGTACAGCCTACGTCAGGTACGCAAGGCTCATTGGTAAACATTCAAATATTGTGTTCGCTGTTCTCTGCAACGTTTTGTAGAATGTGAGGATCCAAGCAAACTTCTACAAGGAAATGTTTCCTTCACTAGTCTCAAGAGTTCAATGATAGCCATCTTGTGATGATGGATATAGTCTTAATGGTAGTGCAACGTCAGAGTGTATACTTGGACAGTGGACCCCAAGTCTTAAACTAGCAACGTGTCTCATCACTGACAATACATTGTCAAGTCAGTTATGAATAATATTATGTCATTTACAAAAGTCCTGGTTAGTGCATTTTCCCAAAAGGGTGCAGTTATCCAAGCGTGGGATTATTGCAGCACAACGTTAATGTTTGGGGAAACAATTGTTACCTAATCTTCTCTTGTACCTCTGGATATGCACTCTATGGCACTACCACATCTCATTGTGTTTCAGGAGAATGGATCCCTAGTCCTGACTCTGTCACCTGCAGGAATTCCAGTATGCATAATTATAATGTGTGACCATCATGCACAAAATGATTCATACCTGATTTTCAGCTCTCTTGGATTCTTCTTCTGTTAGTGGCGGCTCTCTTAGTACAGCAGAAGCCGTGGTCACAACAGGAGTAGTGTGTGGTGTGTGTAGCTTCACTGCTGGACTGCTACTTGGTGTTCTACTGACTCAATGTCATGGTCACTGTCATAGGAAGGGGAAGAGAGGCCAGACTGAGATACCTCCTGTTTATGAGGACATTCCCTTGGAGAAGACACCTCCCATTGAACTCAACACCAACGAAGCTTATGGATACATCACAAAATAAATGCAATATCATTATCACCTTTTACATACTGAATTGTAGACTTCACCTTTTACATACTAAATTGTATTGTTTTCGCAACATTGACTTAGTTTCCTTGAGCAAACATGCATTACTCGCTCGTCAACACTATGCTCAGACCACATTCTATAGAGTTCATAAGGTCAGGAAAGTGCTGATACTGCAGATCAATAGCCTTACTCTGACCTTTCAAAAGATGCTGTTACTTTTTATCGTAAGTGTAAATACCTTGTGTTCATATTGATGTTCTAGGTGAAGAGACATCATTCTTTTACTACTCTTCCCACTACAACATTTAGCTATCATTATGGTGAGTTTGGGTGAGCACATAACAGCTGCTTAGTACTAGGCCAGCACTTGTCTTAAACGTTTTTCACATGCTCAAACTCTCAACAAACATTGAATAATGGTGTAATTACTTTTCATTCCAAGTTGGGCTGCAGTCCAAGGTTTCTCCCTGTCTTCCTCTCCATCATCTGAGGATGGTATCATATCAGTCTGTCCTGCCACCACTGTCACCCTCACCTGTACTGCCAGTGGAGTTGTCACCATGACATGGAGAGACCACAGAGAGATCTATTCATTCCTCGTTATGGATTATGACAATGAAGAGACAAGAGTGGTTCACGAAGGTCCATACACTCTCAACCTTACAACTATTGATAACAGAACAGGCTTACGTGCTGACTTCATCTCAACACTGACGGTGACGGTTGACGACAATGTCAGTGGAACAAACATATCTTGTCTAGTATTAATGAAACGAGACCATCTAGTCATCAATAAAAGAAGTAAACTCTTTGCTCATTATGTATGTAGTTATGATATCTCTTTACAACTGCAAAAGGTCCTCCTTCTTCTCCATACAACATAACAGTGAAAACTGACGGTTATCAAACTGACAACTTCTCCATCATCATCTCCTGGGAGTCAGGGGAAGATGAAGTGGTTGATGAGTACAGAATACTGACCAACACTACTACACAGTCCATAACCACTACCAATACAACTGTAGTTCTAGAGGGAGTGTACAACATTATTCTGGAAATCAGAGTTTCAGCCATCAACTGTGCAGGCACTAGTGCAGAGGCCACCGAGGAAGTCTTTGTTGGCAAGTTGTCTCACTTAGTGAAGAGATGAACTATTCCATTGGCTCTCTCCCTCAGCTGGCTGTGGTCCTCCCAGTCCACCAGTGAATGGCAGTGTTGGTGAGTGGACCAGTTCCAGAGTAGGAGCACAGGTCACCTACTCCTGTGACACCCACCTGGTTATGGTGGGAGAGACTGTGACCACATGCTCTCTCCCTTCTCTAACATGGCTGCCTAGTAGCGATGATGTCACCTGTGTACAGCCTACGTCAGGTACGCAAGGCTCATTGGTAAACATTCAAATATTGTGTTCGCTGTTCTCTGCAACGTTTTGTAGAATGTGAGGATCCAAGCAAACTTCTACAAGGAAATGTTTCCTTCACTAGTCTCAAGAGTTCAATGATAGCCATCTTGTGATGATGGATATAGTCTTAATGGTAGTGCAACGTCAGAGTGTATACTTGGACAGTGGACCCCAAGTCTTAAACTAGCAACGTGTCTCATCACTGACAATACATTGTCAAGTCAGTTATGAATAATATTATGTCATTTACAAAAGTCCTGGTTAGTGCATTTTCCCAAAAGGGTGCAGTTATCCAAGCGTGGGATTATTGCAGCATAACGTTAATGTTTGGGGAAACAATTGTTACCTAATCTTCTCTTGTACCTCTGGATATGCACTCTATGGCACTACCACATCTCATTGTGTTTCAGGAGAATGGATCCCTAGTCCTGACTCTGTCACCTGCAGGAATTCCAGTATGCATAATTATAATGTGTGACCATCATGCACAAAATGATTCATACCTGATTTTCAGCTCTCTTGGATTCTTCTTCTGTTAGTGGCGGCTCTCTTAGTACAGCAGAAGCCGTGGTCACAACAGGAGTAGTGTGTGGTGTGTGTAGCTTCACTGCTGGACTGCTACTTGGTGTTCTACTGACTAAATGTCATGGTCACTGTCATAGGAAGGGGAAGAGAGGCCAGACTGAGATACCTCCTGTTTATGAGGACATTCCCTTGGAGAAGACACCACCCATTGAACTCAACACAAATGAAGCTTATGGACATATTACTTAAAACTGATTCAAACCATCATGACAACCTGTATAAATAAAAACTGTACTTTTTGCTAGTTCGCTACTCTGAAATAATCTTTAATGTCACGATTTATGAAGGTCTGGAATATGTCGACACGTGAAGAAATGGTAGTGAAGTAAGAATTGTGCGAGGCGAGTATAGCTGGAATATCTGTACAGTCCTCTAATTGCCAGGCCTCATCTCTTTTTGGTTACTTAATTTTGTCTGGTTTTTTTTTCGGATTCTATGACTGCTTGAAATTTAGAGAGTTATAATAGTTTCCCTCGTATTTAGATCTACAGCTGCAGATGAAAATGTTGGAATGCATATTGCCTGTGATCACTAAACCTTTTTTGAAGTGATGGTAAAGTATGGTGTATGTGTACATCACATTTTCATGCATTGCACCATGTTGAATCCTGCTTCCCAGTGTTTGTCCATGATCCTCCATTGACATTGGTCAAGCTGATTTTTTGGACACGCCTATCAATAAACACGCAGACTACTGCGATTTTTGCGCATGCGCCGAAATGACAGTCCCAAACTCATTTTCACTATAAGTCTACAATGAACGTAAATAATACACAATATCACCCGCAGGGTATATGCTCCAGTTGAAGTGAGAATAATCAGCTGTTATGCAATCCATTTAGACCGGTGATGATGCACAGTCACATGTGCATTAGTGTAAAAGCTGTGTATGTACACATGACTGCTGAAGTGTTACTACAGAGCAAAGGGCGGTAACAACAAACTGCAAAGTGCACCAGTGTGCATTACTATACTAATGTACTGCACTAAAGTGCATGAGCACATGTGCAGCAGTCGACTGAGCCAAACATTGTCATACAGAATTACCTCTGATTATGCCTTAAATCCCTGGGCTACCACTTGTTCATTACAACAAGTTTAAAATTAACTACATTTGCATTTTAAATTCCGTTCTTTCACTGCGCTTATGACGCATGTCACAGTACAAACTGATTACATGGTTTTCCAAGTTAGTAAAGGCAAAGTCAGTAAACAAAAACGGTGGTGTTGCCTATATATTGGGGTTTGCATAATAGAAAGTAGGGGGAGTGGGGTTCCAACAAGCACCTTCATAAGCACAAAGTTAAATTATTTCCTGGGACTAGCTGTCTGTAAAATACCCTCTTCAAAATGCATTGCTTTTGGACACGCACTCAAAAGCTACAGACCTCACATTAGAGCGACTCTTGTGACAAAACAGTCAACAGGAGTTGAGTTTAGCAAAAGCTTTGAGAAAAATAGGGAAACTCTGTCTGTATAATACCCTCTTTCCTTGTTTCGTGTATAAACAGTTTACACACCAGACCTTCTACTTTCTTCTTAAACACACACACATGTTCACACACACATGGTCACACACATGCCACAGGTCAACTTCCAATCCCTATTGATATGAATGTGGACTACACACACCAGGCAGTCCCACTCCCCCACCTTATGATGATGGGTGGGGACACTAGTCACAGCGGTGATGAGGAAGACACTCCTCCTCCTCCTCCTCCTCCTCCTCCCCCTCCTCGGGACGGGACCCAGCAGTTTGTCAGCCATGTTTTATGTATGGAACACCTGTGATATCGTCTCTCGTACATGTGGTGTACAGAGATTTTGCCACAGTGATGTCATTATTACAGCGTGGTCTTATGCTATATACCAGTAGTAGCCAACTGTACATACACACATGTAGGGGTAGAGTACAGTGTCACTTTGCCCACGCCCCAGCTGACACAGATGTTGACTGTGTACTTTCACTTTTCAAAGATAATATATATGTTTTCTTCTTTTTTCATATACAGGACTAAATCATGCAGTTGATGTCTTTGAAGAATATTTGGCAGAGATTTCTTGTTGGCTAATTAAACGCAAAGCCAGGCTGTGCCTACATACATGAAATTATTCTGTGAATCATTATATCCCTGCCACTTTGATAATGTGGACGTGCTTGCATTCACTTGAAAAAGGTTTCTATGTTTCTCATACACCACTTCAAAGTACACTAGATATGTGGACCAACGTATATACCGACCAAAGAGCCAACCAACATAATATACAAACTGAATATATACCCACAACAGGAGATTGTGTGGATGTTGGTAGCTACCAGGCATTTTAACTGAGGATCAGCCTTGTGCATATCAGATCACATGAACAATTTAATGTCTTTCAGGTCAAAAGATCATCGAGCAACTCTCTCCACAAAGGAGCTTTCACGTGTTAGTCGAACGGTTGAGTTCAGCCAACAAGGTTGCACAGCAGGCAGGGAGACACAAAAGAGTTCTACATGAAACACATTCCCGGAACTTCTCTGGGTTTGTCAGGGAGGTTCTGGATGAGGAAAGGGAACAGTTGTGTCTGTGCCCTGATGCTGCTTCTTCCCTAAAGAACATTAGGAGTTTTGTTTGGCTGCTTCTCTAGCGTGGGCCCTCTCACCCAAGAGCCATGCTTACCTTCCATAACTAATGTCTTAGGAGAACAATAGCTATAAACAAGCAGCGACAAGTCTCTGAGTCACGCTATTTACGAGCCTTTATAGAGGTTCTGTTTGTTCTGGCAGTAGTGCACACTGTTTGGGTTGAGTCTCATGTAGCCCCTAGTTATTGTGACTATCATCCACCTGGTCATGCTCTTGTTTGAGACTCAAGTCCGCCAGTTGGCTGGTAAATACCCTGTCATTCCCTGGCTTGTGATCCTCCTACTATATTCATGCTCATTACACACACTGGTGACGGAAAAAGCATCCAAGAGCCAGTCTGATTGCGGAGTGTTCATCTGCCGTCAACAGGACGCCCCTATCGAGTGGGTGAACTAATATAGCCAGTGGAGATATGCACCTACGCAACTTGAAAAAGTGGGTGGGGCTCGTCGACGAGGCACAATAGCGCAGTCATGACGAAGTTTTGCAGCAGTAGATTCCAGGGTGGAAGAATGGCACAGTATCACCTTCTACTACGTAGCTGCTCTGCTCCAGCTACTGAGAATAGCTTCTGGTGAGAAAGAAGCAAGCTGCAGCAGGTTCTAGCTAGTAGCCATAGCAATTCATCTGTTTCTCTTCAAAATTAAACTGCCCACTGCTCCTAGTAAAGTGGCTAGTATACTCAAAACATTGGTTAATCCACGCAGTGGCGTAAGTAGGTTTACAGGCAGAACATTATTAATTACTGAGGATAAGTTACAACACAACTGGCAGTGGCTAGCCCTGCATCACAGCTGCACTTGTCCATATGCCTCATTGGACGTCAGCTGAATGTCTTGTGAACTCTTGACCTCTCTTGCCACACCCACCTCCTCATAGGTGACTGGTGGAGGGAGGGGAGGGGGAGGGGAGGAGGTGGGGCCAGACGACCTGCCCCTCACTCTCTGTATGAGGTACACTCCCACCACTCCCAGTAGAACTCCAATAGTTAGAAACACAAGACTGCACACCACGCCAATGACTATGGCTGTTGTCTTACAGACATCATCAAGTTCTGCTACTATAATAAGATTGAGCATAATAATAATAATGAGGTAAGCACTGCAGCTAGCCAATTGTACCTTCTGCCTCCACACATTGAGGAGTGGTACCATTCCAGAGGCCACTAGAGAGACATTCTCTGGTAGTGTCTCCCTCTAGACTATAGCCATCATCACAGAAGTAGACTGCCACTGATCCTACACTGTCTCCACTGTAACACACCCCACCACCACTCACTGACCCACACACTCTGTTCTCCTCAACCAGAGAGGGAGACAAGTCCCTCAATGAACAATTCTTGTCTATTAAGGTGTTACAAAAACATACGAGCTTGACTCCATATGCCTCATTGGAGGTCAGCTGAATGCCTTGTGAACTCTTGACCTCTCTTGCCACACCCACCTCCTCATAGGTGACTAGTGGAGGAAGGGGAGGGGGAGAGGCGGAGGTGGGGCCAGACAACCTGCCCCTCACTCTCTGTATGAGGTACACTCCCACCACTCCCAGTAGAACTCCAATAGTTAGAAACACAAGACTGCACACCACGCCAATGATTGTGGGTGTCTTACAGATATCATCAGGTTCTGCTGCTATTAATGATGAGGTAAACAATGCAGCTCACCATAATAGAGAATTGTACCTTCTGCCTCCACACATTGAGGAGTGGTACCATTCCAGAGGCCACTAGAGAGGCATTCTCTGGTAGTGTCTCCCTCTAGACTATAGCCATCATCACAGAAGTAGACTGCCACTGATCCTACACTGTCTCCACTGTAACACACCCCACCACCACTCACTGACCCACACACTCTGTTCTCCTCAACCAGAGAGGGAGACAAGTCCCTCAATGAACAATTCATTCCTGGGTGTACACATGAATAGCTACATCCACACACAAAATTCCCCCAAAACTGTGCATGTAGTGATCTGTTATGAGTTTGTGAGGCAGGAAAACGACAATGCTTGTATACAAAACACTCTAGTGACAACAGTTATGTTTATCATGTTAGAAGTGCACCTTGTAAGATACTGACTTGGTCTATTAAACCTTGGCCTACCTAACGGAGGTGGAATTGTTGAGGTGTTAGATTCTATACACACTAGGTCCATTGGGCGAGGGGACCATGATGAGTTGAGACATTGAGATGACATCCTCTCATTAGGAGTGTATCCATTCTGACAGTGGAACTGGATCTCTGCTCCCTCCTCTGTACTCCTGTACTCCTCAATACTACCATTGACTGGTGATGGTGGAGCTCTGCAGCAAGCTGGGGGGAAACCACAACAAAAACATAATAACGGTGTTACAAAAACGAAATAACCATTCCTAGCTACCTACCCTGCACGCTAGTCAGAGATACAGGGTAGCTGGAGCCAGCACAGTTGTTGGCAGTGATGATGATGGAGTAAACAGTGGAGTAGTACAGTGAGAGAGGTAGCTCCAGAGACTCAGTAGTTGTCTGGACCACAGTCTGGTCCTCCTGGTAGAGAGAGAGGGTGTAGTTGTCAATCTCCACTCCTCCATCATCTCGTGGTCTCTCCCACCCAACTACCAGTGAATACTGAGATATTCCATACACCACTGATGATGTCAGGTTCCACGGAGATGAAGGCAATCCTAAAATAGAACGTAATTAAACAAATCCTTGTGATAGTCTTCTTTATACCTGCTATCTTTATGTATGATGGTACTGAAATATTGTTGCTTATCCCATTGTAGCAGAGAATTTCAATAGGATAGTCGGTGAGGGAGGGGTTAACTTGTGTGTGGAGTGTTGAAGTTAAGTCACCCAGGAAAGAGTACTGCTGGTCTCGAGAGTAGTTTACCAGAGAGGCAGTGAACTGGCCAGTGGAGTCAGTCTGAGTGGTGAGAGATGAGTCATCTGCCAGGTTGAAGAGAATAGTGTTATCACTTGATCCAATGACCCAAGTCAGTCTTCCAGTAGAAAGTACAACACAGCAGGTCAGAGTGACATCTTCACCAACACATGCTGATTTGCCAGCTAAACTGGATGTTATTGTCTGCCCCTGTGTAGCTTCGACTAAAGTTGGCTCTAAAATTCCAATGGAAATGAGTATGAAGAGGACTCTCATGATCCTACCATGATACATCATGGCGTAGTAGTGCGAGAACATCCGGAGCACATTTCGTCGTCGCTCTGGAAAGAGGTACATACAGCCTCGGTAAGCCACCGAAGAGTGCAGCGAATGCCGCCGTCGAGTATTGTACGGACCTGACGCGTAGCGACTTCCGGCCACGCCCACACTCCACGCGATGCGCGCCTACTAATTAAGGCCACGCACACCCATTGAAGCGCACACACTACGTAACCTCGTGTGTATCATGTGTATAATATCTCTCTCCGTGCTGACGCGACCGGCCGATAACTCCACAGGGTGACTCGGTCATAGTGGAGTCTGTGTACTACCTGCATTCTTTAGGCCAGTGCTATTCGCACCTTACTTTGCTTGCCGCCCGGATGGATCATGATCGGAGCCGGACCTCGTCTAGGGCTGGGCTAGGGCATTGACAGACTCAACCAATCGATGCCCTAGACGAGGTCCGGCGCCGATCATGATCCATCCGGGCGGCAAGCAAAGTATAAATACCCAGTGGGAGTGCGCTTGAATGGGTGGGCGTGGCCGTAAGCGTGCATATTATTATATCTCTGGCGTGACCGGAAGTCGCTACGCCGTAAGTATAATTATACACTCCAGTTGACAGACACTCTGTCACGAATCGCTCTGGTCACTGGCCAGTAACTTACTTTGCCGCCATGGCCAAGACTAAGAAAACGGATCCAGAGATTCAAGCTCTGCAATCCTCCCCACAAGGTGGAATCCATCCCTGTGCTAATGTCTACCGACACTATCCTCTGTGACACATCCACTGGGCCTCCTCGTCCTCTTGTCCCCCGCGCATCGCGAAGTCCGGTCTTTGATTCTCTACATGGGCTCTCTCACCCTGGGATCCGAGCAACTCGACAAGATCCTTGCCTCGCAATACATTATGGAACGCCGTTTCCGCCAAAAGTAAGGACTCTCTGCCTGTCAAAAATCGATCTCTAACTCGGATCACTAATTACTTGATTTTTGGGGGAAATCGTTCTCTAAATCGATCTTTTACTCGATTTTTCGCTCAAATTGATTTCGTAAATGATCTTTCACTCGTTTTCGCTCTAATCCATTTGTAGATAGAGGTTTGGTTCGCGAGATCGATTAGAGTGAAAAATTGAATGAATTGAGTAAAAGAACGATTATCCGAGTAAAAAATCAATTTAGAGAACAATTATTTTCCAAGAATCGAATAAGTGATCGAGTTAGAGATCGAGTTTTGACTGGCAGAGAGTCATTACTTTTTTAGGAAACGGCGTTCCATATACGTGTGGCCAGAAATGAATTCAGACATACGTAGATGGATATGTTATTATACTGTACCTGCATCCAGTGTCAGCGCTCAAAAGTACAACGTCACACTGTCACTCCACTCTTTTCTTTTCCGACCCCTGATGCAAGATTCGACACTGTCCATATCAACCTTGTCGGACCTCTCCCACCCTCCAAAGGATATACTTACCTCCTTACGTGGGTAGACCAATTCACACAGTGGCCATGAGAGGCTCTTACTCTATCACCGCAGAAGCTGTCGCCCAAACTTTCATCAGCGGGTGGATCTCACTTTGGTGTTCCCTCTGCAATTGTCACAGATCGCGGACGTCAGTTCGAGTCCAATCTCTGGAACGTACTCATGAAGCTCCTCGGATCGAAACGCGCCAAAACAACTGCTTACCACCCCCAGTCGAACGGCATGGTGGAACGTTTTCACTGACAGCTCAAAGTAGCACTGAGAGCTCAACCCAATCCTTCTGCATGGATGGATTCTCTACCAATGGTACTCCTTGCAATCCGAACGGCACTGAAGGAAGACATCTAATCAACAGCAGCTGAGATGGTGTATGGCACTACCCTCCGTCTTCCTGGATAATTTTTCAGCCCTCCTTCCACCTCTTCATTAAATTATCCATCAGACTTTGTTTCGCAGTTAAAAGCTCACATGCAACTCCCATCGTTTCCTCCGATCTATCTTCCCAACCACAAGCCTACTCCTGTGCCTTCTCAACCGGCACCCCGAGTCACACGATCAGGACGACGAATTTACTGGCCGAAACGCCTGCACACCTACATATATACCATTGTGAGCCACTGGGGAGGGGGAGTGGTGTAGTGGATACACTTTAACCTCTGACATAACCACGTGCTTAGAACATATGCTTAGATTGTGGAACATTTGAGCGTGTCTATATATTATACAAATGGAAAAATCATTTCTTCAAAATGAAGGGGGATATAGGGATGGCTTGAAGCACCAAAAAGGAAGAAACAAGGGGTCATTACAGCAAAGATGCACAAAGCTACATGACACCATCCCTATATCTTTGTTCGATATTAAACTTTCCTTACGAACAATAACACAAAGATATAGGGATGGTGTCATGTAGCTTTGTGCATCTTTGCTGTAATGACCCCTTTGTTTCTTCCTTTTTGGTGCTTCAAGCCATCCCTATATCCCCCTTCATTTTGAAGAAATGATTTTCCACTTTGTTTCCACTATTTTTATTGTTACAGTCACTCTTGGTGCTCATGGGTATGTTGTAGATAGATAGGTTACCAAGGACACAAACTCTAATTGTTGAAAGTGCCTGAAGCAGGAGCTACGTAGATACCATATTCACCTCAGGTAATTAGTTATTAGGTTATGGCACATGGTTGTGGTTTCATGGGCAGGCTTTGGTAATCAGGCTACAACCTAGGGGGGACAAATGGGCCCCTTTTGTGCGCCAAGCAATGCCGGCCAAGTTGCTCCTCGTGTAAATCAAAATGCAAGCTAGCCAGTTCGAAATGTGCACACTGACTTAGAAGCTGAGAGTTCCTCTGCAGGTCGCCTTGTAATACGCGCGCACAGCGCGAACGTATGGCACGCCAAACGTAAAAAAAATCGGCCTTACTGTAGAGCGTTCTACAGACACTCTAGAGCGTCCTACAACGGCCAAACTCTAGAGCGTCAGACAGACTCTCAAATCGTCCTAGAACAGCCAATCCCTAGGGAGAAACTCCTGCGCACTCCATAGTACGCATGCGCCGTAGTATGGAGGTTTGTTCTTGCCCTTTGACCCTTGGGTATCTGCGCGTGTGCAGTGAGTGAGTGAAAAATAGGGACCAGCCCCATTGTCAATGAGATTCACCAATGCTGGCTTTTAGATTTTCGTTTTCGGAGGTCACGTTCTCCCCACCGTCGGCCATATGGAAGGCGATAAGGCACGTCAGTCACTCCGCTGCAAGAACAATCCTTCCTCCATACTACTACGGCGCATGCGTATGCTCTGGAGTTGCTCTAAGACGCTCTAGGGGTTGGCTGTTCTAGTACGCTCTAGATAGAATTTGGCCGTTGTAGGACACTCTAGAGTGTCTGTAGAACGCTCCTCAGTAAGGCCGATTTTTGTTACGTTTGGCGTGCCATACGAACGTCCCTGCCTAGCGCATGCGCGCGGCTTACTGAATGCTGAGTTAGCAGCAAATGGCGTTGTTCAGTGTCGACCATGGAAGAGCTCCACGATGAACGGTAGTGACTGGCGGCAAGAAAGAAACGATCACTTGATGTCCGTGCACACCTCCGACAAAATTGGAGACGTTCAGTGAAAAAATCAGCGCTTCAACTGGTTCTGGTAAGGAGATAGCGGGTTTACTGAAGAAGAAACCGGAAGATGAAGAATAATTATGATGATGATGATGACACGAACATCCAGAAATCGGGTATGAGCGAAGTCTCGCGTGGAGAACTGAAGGTGCATATGAGGTCTTTGGGAACATGTATAGGTAGATATGGGCCCGTAGACTATTGCTAGTGTGTTTTGAAGGCCTAGGGAGTCATTTTGAACGTTTTTAGGCGTTTTGTACGCGGATCACGTGAGATTTGACTCGTGCCATCCCTATATAGAGCGTCTACCGACGCTCTAATAATATATATAATATAATAATTATATTGGTAGTTGTGCATTGTGATTCAGTTCATGTGCCAGCATGAGAGATCGGCGGATCGTCACAGCGAGGCCACCTGACTGCTTGGTCGGTACTGCTCTATGCCTGTTGCTTGTCGAACCCGAGGACATGTGGGAAGATCGTTAGAGCAGTCAGGGTAGAAGATCTCGGTGATAAATGTGATATATATAATTATACATAATGTTAATAGTATTTATGTTGGCAATTGTCCCACATTACAATAATAATCAACATTGTGAATATAATTGTATTTAGTTCTTATAGTCCAGCTTTACGACGACTGGTTATTGAATTTCACACCATAGTTAGACAGCACGGCGGCATGCAAATCTTTATGAAGTAATTTTCTGTTACCCTCAGCTTCAAAGGCTTCCTCATCGCAAAACCTGATGTACATCTACAATCTTGCCGCATGCTATAGCTAGCTACACACATTATTCAACTACGATGAACACTTGATTATGCTGCAACCAACAGGTAGCTAAGTACGTACTGTTTGATTCCAGTGTCCATTCGCAGTCAGCTGGTAGTCTTATATTTTGTTCAGAAGTGGGACGTTGCATGCATTCTCTCCAAGAACATGCTGTTTTCCGAGGAGGAAACAAAACAAAACTATAGCCAGTTTGTCTAAAGTAGCTACCGGATGTAGTTTACCTAATAAAACCTGACTACTGTCCAGGAATTGCTGATTTGTTTTCGTTGCTGAATATACAATTCTGAGTCTCACAAACAAGCACGCGCACCTATGAATATACATAGGCCAAGTATGGGGCGTTCTGCGCGCGTGGCGAAAGCTATGTATAGGTTTGATGATCAAACCTACTTGGTATTCTCCAGCACAATGCCTGAATTTATGGAACGCCGTTTCTGCCAAAAGTAAGGGCTCTCCGCTTGTCAAAAATCGATTTCCAAATCGATCACGTAGACTCTACTCGATTTTTGGTCAAAAATCGAAATCGATCACGTACTCGATTTTTGGTCGATCTACGATTTTCTTTGTAAATCGTTGTCTGTTTACTCGCGTTAGCTTCAAGAAGCGCGTGTGTTTGACGTAAACCAGTCCTAAAGACGTCATATCCGTAGTATCCGCAGCTTCTAGTGCGTGATGCCCAGCTCGCTACGATCCGCGGACCAAGGATGCAAATGACGTTGATTGGCCATTCTGGGATATGATTGGAGATCGAGATCTAAGACTGAGTGCCTCGCGGGAAAAAGGGTGCGTTCACACGAAGTCGAGACACCAATCATCAGATCACAGACGAGACCGTCCAAATCAATCAATTTCGCGTGCATCCGTAGTCCACGGAGTTTTGTAGCGGCGGCATCACACAGTCTCGTGCCCAGCCCCCGCCCTCTCTCGAGGAAAAGGGTCTGGTGACTATTGAGCGTTTTCTTGGTTGTGCTGACTCATCATTGCCGAGTGCATGCGCAGAAAATCCCGTTTTCGTTCGTGGACAGCGGAGTCCACGGAGGTCCACGGGGGTCCACGAAGGTCCACGGAGCTGCGTTACGATCTATTACATAACATCATGTGATATTTCACGCTCGTGGCAATCTGATTCGGTGTCTCAAAAGTAAGACTGTCGAGTCAGCACAACCAAGAAAACGCTCAATAGTCACCAGACCCTTTTCCTCGAGAGAGGGCGGGGGCTGGGCACGAAACTACATCACACACCGAAGAGAGTTTCGCGAGATTGATTACGAAATCGATTAGAGCAAAAAATAGAATGAAAGATCGATTTAGAGAACAATTCAAATCGAGTAAAAGATCGATTTAGAGATCGATTTTGAGATCGATTTTTGACTAAAAATCGAGTACGTGATCGATTTGTAAATCGATTTTTCACCGAGTATCTATATACGTGATCGATTTGGAAATCGATTTTTGACAGGCGGAGAGCCCTTACTTTTGGCGGAAACGGCGTTCCATATGAATTCCCTATAAGGAAAGCAAAGTAGGTGTTGATTAGGAAGTAGCTCAGCCCTCTGACTCAGCCCTCTGACTCAGCCCGCTGCTGTTGGTAGTATATAGTACAACTAAGTTGGTACTACTACGTATAGGTTTGATGATGGCAAGTGTGTGTGCTCTATGAGCGCGCAGCGCGAATAGAGCATACTTGCCATCATCAAACCTACTTAGTACACATCTCTGTAGTAACTACAGAACAATGGAATGCCGCCCTTTTTAGGAAAGTGTTGCGTAAGCACTTGACAGCACAGCACAGCAAATTAATTGTACAGCAACTGCAAGTTTGTACAGCAGGAATGGTGCTAAGTGGGTGTTACTACAAGCCAATAAATTATACCTCATAATGCGTCGTTGCCGGGTAACGTGTAAAATCATACCCTATAATGCGCCGTTGCTGGGGTAACATCCAAATACGTACATACGTAGCTAGTGATAGTACGGCAAGCTATAGCTAATGGTTAGCAAAAGAACATGGGTCAGTTATACGCGTATCTTCTGCTTTGTTCAACTTTGGTGCTAGCAGCGTATGGTAGGTATAAAATCATTCGGATGCAAAGATGATAATATTATTGGCTTTCAGCGGACGTGTCTCTCTATCCGACGGACGAGACTGAAGCAAGCTGCGGAGAAAAAACGACCATAGAGTGCACCGCGACGGCCACCAATTCAGTCACCATCACTGCTAAGAATGACAGCTTCGTGTTCGGAGTTCACACATACGAACGTGGCAGCGCCCGTGAGGCAAAAGCTGGAACGCTGGATCTGTATCTAGCACAGGCCTCGGTGAGTGCTGAGAATCCTTTTCTAACAAATTTCAGAGTTATTGCATCTGAGAATTACATGGGAAAAGTAACTATCATGAGTTGTGCAGATGTAAATGCAGTACAGCTTGTGAAAATTCGAACCAAGCGTAAGTTAATAAGCATAATTTTACTAGTACAATCACTAGATTTTTTTGTGCAGCAACACAATGTCGCTTACCAATGTACAACTAATGGATATTGGTAACAATACAAAACTAATCGAATGGGAAGAACCAAATTGTGAAGGATGGAGACAGTTGTCTTATTATACATTGGTCATTGTAGAAGGTGGAGAAGAAAGATATGCTACTGCAAATGAACCATCCACAATCGTGTCTGGTCAATTCTCAAGGATTACAATTACAGCAACAAACGTCTGTGGAGAAACCACATCCATTGCAATAGTCAACAATGAAAATGGTAGCTAGATACAATAGTCATATTGATAGTGTCTTAATAAAGCAAATCATACAAAATAGACGGAGAAAAAGAAGAAGAAGAAAAACAGATGTATAATAAAGCTGGGGGTGGAAAAACTCGAGGTATGCTTACAGCATTGTCTGTATAATAATACCTATTCCCAAACCAATACATTTTTGTAGGAGGATCTGTACTACTTACAACCATACTACTTGGAGCTACTAGACTATTGTCATAACATCTATATTAGACAAACAGTGCGACATGAATTTTATTATAATGACGTGAATACTACGGCATGCGGGACCCATTTGGAGGACAACCCCGCCAATGCCCGCGATGTAATGGTGTCAACAGGTAGCCAGACCTGGCTAGCGAGACTAGTCAACAGGGCAATTCCGACACTGAGAACTCCTAGGCTACCTGAAGGGTGGTGGTAGCTACATTAGCTAGCTATATATGCAGTTTTAGGCTCGCTTCCACTGGCCAATAAACATTCACACTTCTGTTTGTGTGACAGTCACTGCATTGTATTTGCTCTCCATGGCCAGTTAGGCCTTGGCGGATCATGCTCCCAAATGTGCCTATTATGCTCTGCCGCAATTCCTTTAAAATACCTCTATTATGCCTCGGTCTAGTCCTATTCTGCTCCCACAGTTTTTGTTTATGCTCGCATTATGCTCCACTCACACACCAGAGGAGGTATATACATAATACGTACGACACGGTGACGTCATCGTGTCGTACCTCCTCTGCTCACACACAGTGCTCATGCATGAGTGTATATAAAATCAGTCAATCATATGCTTGTCACATGATGGTGTTAGATGGCTGCTAGAGGACTATATTGAAACAGCTCGTATATCTTATATGTTCATGTTTTTTTCTATTATGCCTTTATGCTCTGGCGTCCTATTATGCTCAAAATTATGCCAGTATAATCCGCCAAGGCCTATCTCCAGTCCAAACTCGCTCCGCCTGCCCCTATTTCATTCACTCGTGGAATCGCACACCGCGAGGGTCTGTGCGCATGCGCATCTACGATCGCGCGCGCGCGGGCACACCCGGACACGCCTAGCTCGGGCCTCTTGTAACGTCCAGTGTGGCAAGCCCGCAGACAGGGCGTGACAGAGAAGTTCTTCATGAAGGCGTGGAAACAGATTGACATTCTTCTCCTTTGGTGTGTGTTGCCAGCAACAATCACAGGTGGGTCTCAGTGAGCATGTGCCTTCCGCAAAAGTGCCAGGTGTAAGTGACCAGGTCTCAGTACCAGGTTCATCAAAATAACCACTTGACCCAGTTGGCTAATTAACATTAAAAATGACAATGTCCACTGAGGTCTCGCATAATCACTGGGATAACCTGTGTATGCTAACTTATGTTATTTTACACAGGGGATGTGTTCTTGCATTCAATTGCTGTAAAATGTGGAGGGGAGATATACTGTTCATGTTTTGCAAATAAGACAAACGCAGTTTCTATCAGTGCAAGCAGGGAGAATACTTCATATGGGACCCATACATTTGAACGAGGCAGTCATCGACAGGTTTCACTTGGGCCATTAGAACTCTATGTGTAAAAGCTGAGAAGGATCCAGATTTCATTTTTCTGACAAATTTTGAAATAAGAATGGAACACAATTCAAGAGAACTCCTCAACATATCGTGTTTTGATGTGTCTATGAAGAAGGAACTCCAGGCACCCACTGAGTTTGAAAGTATGTGTGTTTGCTCCCAAAGTTTACATGAAAGTTTTTTTAGAATGACTTTTGGTTGCAGGTGGTGATTGCCATGTAAAAGCATCACTAGAGGAAAATGTTTTGGAATGGGATCCACCATCCTGTGAAGGATGGCAAGATATTCAGTACTATACAGTGATGTATGGAAATAAAAGTTCAATTGAAACCGAACGTCATGTTACATATGCTCAAGATATATTGAATGGAACCTCTATTGTGATTATGGCAACTAATGTTTGCCAAGAAACGACTGTTATTTCGAATATAAGTGGTAAGTGCAATGTTGCATACAGAAGGGGCTCACTTAGGCCTTGCACCCTATAGGTCAGTGCTTATTGCTTAGCTGCTGTTAAGTATCGTACTTCCTAGTTCGAAGTGCCACATACTACAGTGTACCTATCTATAAACGCACTGTGGTTTTTAGTGAGCAGAATGTTATGGGTTCGAGTCCCACCCATGGTTACCCACCTAATATACACATGTTACCCCAGCAACTACCCATGTAGGGTATGATTCATTGGGGTAGTAGTAGCACCCACTTAGAGTTAAAACAACACTTTCCTAAAAAGGTGGCATGTCCATAGTCCTGTGGTTAAGTATGGCCAAGAATGCTCTACTCCCACTGCATGCCAGTAGAGCATGTAATTATACTTGCCATCATCAAACCTATACATAATGTATCTTCTCGTTGTTCCAGTGAACTCCCTGCCTACTGATAAAGATCCAGACGTAACAGGTACTCTTTTATCATACACTATGTTATGGGTCAAATCGTGATCTACGCTGCAATGATGGAAAATGTGTTTATGGATGACCTATAACTCAGCATGCATGCACGCCACCTTCACATTGCATGCTGCTTTACTTTGGAGTATTTGTGCAGTCAAGCATACATTTGCAGAACTCGCCTGAACCGGTTGTTTAAAATTATATCTGGTGTTGTATATACAGCTTATCATTTACAGTTCAAGCCCACTCCCACTCTGTAGCCATCACCTGCTTGCCATTTTTGAGAGTATATGTGGTGGAGTGTACACAAGGCATGCCAAGCCTGTGTTGAGGTGCCCTTATGTAATTAGCACAGATCCAATTTGATTAATCAGCAAGCAACCACTAAGTCCAAAACCCTCGGTGAACTGTGCATGCGTCGGTACCGCTAATTGATTGGCTGGGCTAGTACGCGTTTACTCGTAGTCTCCACGCTAGAATCTCGCGGAGAGTCTGACACGGGCTAGCTACAGTAGTAGATAGCATGCGGGAGTCGATACACTCCCTTGCGTTGTGACTTCTTGTGCCTTCAAGATACACAGAGCAAGCAGCCGTAACTCCCGAACGCAGCATTTCAGAGAAAAACCTACATATTTTTCGACCTTTATCCGACGCTGAATACGTGGTATTGTTTGTGGGGCCTCGGGAGTGAGAGCGCACCGAGGGGTTATTCAGCTAGGCAACCCTTTTTGAAAAAGGCATAAGTGTATGGAGTGGGCCTCACTGCTTATGACTGTTTTCCTTTGGAGACTTTTTAAGTTCAGTACCCTGCCTTTATATCAAAGAAAACATAAGCCCATAAAGTTTTCATGGGCACCAACAGAGAACTGAACACAGTGAATACAGATGACTTAGTGTCCCTTTGTCTCTGTTTATGCTAAGTCTTCTTTATAATGACTCCAGATATTTGTATGTTCCACTCTTGTCCCTATCAAAATTCTTCCATGTTGCCAACCCACACATTTTCTGCAATAGCAACACTGTGTGTTTCCTTTCTCTGTGTGTCTTTGACTCTCTCCTGAATAAACCATACTGTTTCACCAAATAACACTCTCGACAATAAAATGGAACAAAGGTACACTGGACTAGGGCTGTTCAAATTGGACAAGTGGAAAAATCACTTCTTCAAAATGAAGGGGGATGTAGGGATGGCGTGAATTATGAAAAAGGATGCCAACAAGAAGATGCTTCAGCCGACAACAAAAATCATACATCCATCCCTACATCTTTCTTTCTTTTGCTCTGTCTAAGAATGTGTAGCTAGGCACTCGTTATTGGGAGTAGCTAGGTATAATATTATTATAAAACACAGTTGAGGTTGTGAGTTAAAGAAAGATGTAGGGATGGATGTATGATTTTTGTTGTCGGCTGAAGCATCTTCTTGTTGGCATCCTTTTTCATAATTCACGCCATCCCTACATCCCCCTTCATTTTGAAGAAATGATTTTTCCACTTGTTCCACTTATTTTTAGCCTACACTGAGCCCCACCCTTTAAGCGGAGCAGAGCGGCGAGCGAGGAGCAGCAGGGTTCACACCCATGTGTGTGGAGATTTATGCACTGCAGATTTGTGTGATTTGAAGATTTGATCTCACACACACTCGCAGTGCATTATGGGGGCAGGGGCGATGTCCGTAACGTTGTTTGCAATTTTGCATGATTCTTGCATGAGAGACTAGTGGGCGCATGCGCAAGTACAAAACTAACCCAACATTCATTGTACAATATGCTTTGTTGTGAATTGTGAAGGAAAGTTTTTTCTTTAGGAGAGGTCTATTCCAGCTGAAGTGAAAGGTGTAGAGGCCAAATCAGGGGTATATAGCTAGTAGCAAGCAGGCAGTAGGAGCCAGAAGTTTGCAGGGTTCAGGGTCTAGCTTGAGAGTGCAGTTGCAGTCCAACCCCTATATAGACAGAATAATATCAGAGCGTCGGTAGACGCTCTATATAGGGATGACACGGGTGAAATCTCACGTGATCCGCGTACAAAACGCCTCAAAACTTGGCGAGAATGACTCACCATTGCTTGAAAATCACTAGCAATAGTCTACAGGCCAATACCTAGCTATACATACTCCCCAAGACTTCCTACTTGCCCTCAGTTCCCCACGAGAGAATTGCCTCTTACGCGATTTCACGATTTTCGTGTCATCATCATCATCATATTCTTCATCTTCCGGTTTCTTCTTCAGTAAACCCGCTATCTCGTTACCGAAAATAGTTGAAGTGCTGATTTTTCCATCAAACGTTTCCAGATTCGCCAGAGGTGTGCACGGACATCAAGCGATCGTCTCTTTCTTGCCGCAAGTCACTACGGTAGATCGTTGAGCTCCTCCACGGTAGTCACTGAACAACGCCATTTTTGCTGCTAACTCAGCATCAGCGATCCGCATGCGCCGAGGAGGGCGTTTCCCCAAAGCGGTGCGCGCGCATTCTCGTGCGTGAACCAGGTCTACGAGACTAAGCCAGGATGCCTGCAGAGGAACTCTTATCCTCCAGTGACTTCTGTAAGTCAGTATACACATTTTTAACTGGCTAGCTTGCTTTTAGCTGTTGATTTGCACGTGGCAGTCTGCGCCGGGTTACGCGAGCCTTACAAATTAGCCTTCTTTCTTTGTCCCCCGGGTAGCTGCTATATTATACCATTACTGAAGCCTGCCCATGAAATCGCCACCGTGTGCCACCACCTGATTATTGCGTCCTTGTTGGCCTGGAGACACTACGCGTACATCCCCGCTTCAGGCGCAGCAGCCCATTAGCTACTGCTTTCATCAGTTATCTCTACAACATACCCATGAACATCAGGTGACTGAAAATGCAGTGTTGTCATAAGCAGTTAAAAATAGTGGAAACAAGTGGAAAAATCATTTCTTCAAAATGAAAGGGGGATATAGGGATGGCTTGAAGCACCAAAAAGGAACAAACAAGGGGTCATTACACGGCAAAGTTGCACAAAGCTACATGACACCATCCCTATATCTTTGTTGTTATACGGCTCTGCAATAGAGGTTGTCTTGCATGTAGCTATATTTAGCTCAAGGGAAAGTTTGCTTATAAACAATAAAACAAAGATATAGGGATGGTGTCATGTAGCTTTGTGCAACTTTGCCGTGTAATGACCCCTTGTTTGTTCCTTTTTGGTGCTTCAAGCCATCCCTATATCCCCCTTTCATTTTGAAGAAATGATTTTTCCACTTGTAGATAGTATGCACCATCAAAGCATAATACAGAGGAGTAGACAGACAATGTATGAGTAGGCTTACAATAGGAATTGGTAGTGCAACAAAGGCTAGGTCAGAAGTGGTATATATAAGGGTGCAGGAATGTATAATACAAGTCAGCAGTGGTGATAAGGGGTAGGAAAACACTTCAGAGCCCCACCTGCCCAGCAACTCCCAGATAATCTTATAAGTATAGGTTAACGCCTGGTTCTGAAGCTGTACAGGCATATCCCGAAGCTGTTTACTCTAGCACCAGGGGGTAGAGTAAACAGCTGAGGGGATATCCAGTACCACTGAAGGTAACCAAGGTGTTAACCATTGTGTAGCCTAGCAACGTACTAATTGCCTAGCAAGCATATTATTTTACCGGGGGTTGTGAGAGAAATCGGTGGGCGAGACGAGGGAAAGGAGGCCGAGAGCAAGCTTGCGTGAACCCATGCTGCCTGTTGACCGTTTGTTCGAGTGATTACTACTTAGCTAGCTGAGTGTAGTGCGCAATTGTAGCGGGCTGCTGTAGCGCGGACCAAGCAGAGAAGACAAGACTCCGTGCAGACTGGAATGACGTTCTTTGGAGTCTCCTTCGTATACCACGTACGCTACAGCCAGCTATGGTGCAGCTAAGCTGACATTTTGAAACAGCGTGTTCAAAACGACACAAGTGACGCACGGCACACAGCCCTCTCGCTCCAGCTCTAGCCTTTTTCTGGCTTGGCGTGCGCATCTTCCCGCTTACTGGCTCCCACTTTTCCCTGCGTGCCAGCTGGTATGTAGCCACAGCCATCTACAGCTTACCAAGAAAGGTCACTGGCCATTGTTTGCTCATAGATCGTTGTGTAAAACTGTGGCTACCCAGCCAGTGAATACTCATATTGACTCAATTAAAGGCAACCACACATCCTTGGGATATGTGTATTGATGTGCTGGCTGCTTGGGTACTGGGAATACTACTAGCTTGGTGCCTTTGAAATCAGCAAAACTAGGTTACAATGGCTGGTTATCCTTCCCACGTCTGCATTACCTCTATAGTGCAGCAATATTTTTCTTAAATGGGCTCACAGCTGCCTTTCCTTACCAGGGTCAGCATGATAGGTGGCCCTAGCCACTGCCTTTACCTTGCCCAGGGTCTGACGACAAAGGGATCTACCTCTAGCCTTTACATTCTCAGAATTATGCACATAATATCTACTGCCCTCATTCTTTTCGGGTGATAACACAAAAACTTGAACTTATC